ACAACATTTCGCGTATGCAATTAATTTTTATTCAGGAACGGTTTAGTTGAATGACTGATTTTTTAATAAATAATAAAAAAAAACATATAAGTATTTTTATATAGAATGATATTTAAACAAATTATTATTACACTAAACGTATCGACAACATTTCGCGTATGCAATTAATTTTTATTCGTGAACGGTTTAGTAGAATGATTGCTTTTAAAAAAAAAAAAAAAAACATAAGTATTTTTATATAGAATGAATATTTTAAAAAATCAATTGAGAGATATAGTTATATAACAATATATATATATATATATATATAATTGATTTTATTTAGAAATGTATAATGTATATTACGAATTGTACGCGTTCAGTGTTAATTACTTTTAAAAAGAGAACCTTTTAACCCTTTTGATTGTTACGAATGCATATATGCATTTGATAAAAGTTCCCAGCAATCTTCTATCTTCTATCGATACGTTTTGTGTACGTGTTATCGTCAATATTAATGTAAGATAATTGAATTAATGTTGCTTTTGCGTATGAAAATTATATATATGTGAAGAATGAAAAAAAAAAAAAACTTTAATTATTAAATATATGTTATTTATTATTAGATCTCTGAGAGATTAATAATATCAATCAAAAATTAATATTAAATCATTCGGTATCTATACGAAAACATTTTAAATAAAAGTATTCAATAATCAAAGGGTTCAATTAATTATTATTCCTTGCAAAATTAAATTCAAATTTAGCATCCCCCTATCTCCTCTCTCCCCTTCTGTTTCATTTTTTTAAAATATCGATGATATATTTTTAATACACGTTTGAATCATAAGCTTTGTTTCTCATATCGTCTTAATAATAATTATAATTCTAATATATATATATATATAAAAAGAAGAGAAATTGAGATACGAGAGAAAATGATGGAATAAGAAACTAGAGGGGGGGGAAGGAGGAAAAAAAAAACAAATATTTGTATACGCGTGGTTTTTTAAAAAAGAAAAGAAAAAAAAGGAAGAATTAACTAGATCTGTTTTTTTTTCTTTCATCTGTTATCTTTCGTGCATACATGAATTTCTCAACGAACAAGAAGAAGAAGAAGAAGAAGAAGAAGAAGGCTCGTCTTGTTTTTATTATCAAGAAAGAAAAAGATTCGACGACGCGTGCACGCCTTCATTTTCCTTCCCTTTCCTCCCTCCTAACCCTTCCGATGATGATTACGATGATTACTATTATTATTTTTATTATTACGATTATTATTATTATTATTATTATTATTATTATAACTACTGGTGGATATATAAGGCGTTTGTTGCGTATTAAAATTTTCAACGAATAAGACGTAAGCGAATTCCTCGTTAAAATTACATTTTAACGATGTACATACATATTTCTATGGTTATATACAGAAAATATATATATATATATATATATATATATAGTATATATGCATATAGATATATGTATATACCATGAGAGACGCAGTTCGTTGATAACGATCTCATAAATTCTTCTCGTGTAAACCTTTGAAGGTCTTGCGAAAGAAACGAAGAGAAAGAAAATTCTTCAACCCTTTCGAAAATAATAAAAAGTTCCATGGTGTATTCATACACATATATACATACATATTCATATATATATATATATTAGGTCAAACACTTGTCTACTAGCATAAGAGAGTAAAATCTCGTTAAGAACGAAATCTCGTTGCAGAGAAAGAGAGAGAGAGAGAGAGAGAGAGAGAGAGAGAAATCCGATTAAAAGAAGAAAAGAGAAGAAAAAAAAGAATGAACCGAGGGAAAGAATTAAAAAGAAAGAAAGAAAGAAAGAGAGATTAAAGAAGAACGATAGGCGATAGGTTCAACGAAGAAAAACAAAAGGAGAGAGAAAGAGAGGAAGAGAGAGAAAGAGAGAGAGAGAACACGAGAAACCCTTGCTTCGATCGAAGAACATCGAAGGAAAACGAACACTGACGAAGATTATTTTCTCTCTCTCTCTCTTTCTCTCTTTTTCTCTTTCATTTTCTCTCTCTCTCTCTCTCTCTCTCTCTTCGCGTAATCTACGTGCTGCAATACGAGGAACGAAGCTGTTTACCTAGAATCGCTGAGTTAACGGAGTAAGAGAGAGAGAGAGAGAGAGAGAGAGAGAGAGAGAGAGGGGGGGGGGGAAATAGTGGTGTAGGTAAAAGTGCTAAGACAACAGGTGTTTTCTCTCTCGTGCAGTTAAAGCCTATCGAAGATATATCTCTCCCTTATTCGATTAAATCTATCTCTAAATAATTTGTTTTTCAAATGACAACATTTAAAAAGTAAGAAAATCCGATGCATTTTAATCATATAAATAAACGATAATGTTTGTAGTTGTTTAAAAGAAAACTAAAAAAAAAAAAGGGCGTTTGCGACTATCGTGAGCTAATTTGTCGCGTTCCTCCTCGATGGAACACACAACGAAGAAGAGAGAGATAGATAGATAGATAGAGAGAAAGAGATATAGATAGATAGATAGGGAAAGAGAAATAAAGAGTGAGAGAGAAAGACGATCGCGGTAAAAGATGGCGGCGTAAAACTCTCGCACGGCGGCGCCTCTTGCTCGCTACCACACGCGATCTTGTCTTTTACCTTTGAAAAATACGGCGATTATCCAACGACGAGGAGAAATACGAAGAAGAATCGATGCTAAAAGTCTTCCCAACGCGAACAACGTTATAGGTGTTTCTTCTTTATGTTGCTTGGCAAGAGTTAACCAACTAATGTGGGTCCCAAGTACCTTCGCGATGCGGAAGCTGCCACGACGCTCTTCTGCGTTCTATGTGTATGTATGTATATATATATATATATATGCACTTCTGTACCTGTGTGTGTGTAAGTACATCTATATGTCCCTCTTTCTCTTCTTTCCTTCTATCTTTATTACTCTTCTTCTTTTTCTCACACGATCAAAAATACGTTCCATACAATTCTGTCACTCGCGATCACTCGCGTATTATTATCACTTTGGGAATACGCGAAAATCCATTGCAAGTACTATACTCGGTTAGGGGGAGATAGGGAAAACGATAATACCAGAGTAGGGGAAAAAAAAGGTGCAGGAAAATGACGCGGATACCGAGGTACCAATAAAACACAACGTTATTACGCGACAGCCGAGAAAGAACTGGGAGGCAGCGCGAGCTCGGCCCCCCCATACCTCCCACTCTTCCGCGGTAGCCTTTCGCGCCGCGCCGGCAGCGCCACCCTCGGCGTTACCGCCAAATTCAAACTATTTTTAGACTTCGCCAGCAATGTTGCGTCGGACGACACACACAGGCACGTAACCGTACTTTCCTTGGCCCACCGCATACATATATATATATTATATATATATGTGTATACCATTTTTTTAAATCTTTTTTCTTTCCTTTCATCTATTTTTATTAATTATTATTTAAACAAACAACACCAATTTTGATTATATTACAACTGCAAACTTCATTGTTAATATTATCAACTAGAATATTATTATTATTATTAATCAGTTAAGTAAGTTTTAACACACTGCCAATGATAAAACAATATTCTCATTCATTATGCACAAATAATAACCGTACATCTTTTAAGATAACAATAAATGACGCATCGAGTAATCTCAATGGGGGGATTAAAAAATGCATACAACTTTATATACTTCGTCGGAAGTCCGTGGGTTGTGGTCCACCGCTTCAGGAAGCGGCCTTATCGGTGGCCCTTTGTTTTTTGCCAGCCGATTCATAGAAATCAACTAGTAATCAGAATATATATATACATATACGTGTGTGTGTATATATATATATAAATTACTGGCGTTAATGACACTGTACAGATTAATCTTATCACGTACGGTAAAGATTGGAGAGAATACGAGATGCTACTCTCTCGTATGAGCTAGCACAGCGAGTTTTTCACAAGATCTTAATGAGACGTAACCCTTTTTTTTATTTTTATTTGTATTTTACTCTCTCTCTCTCTCTCTCTCTCTCTCTCTGTCTTCTTCGTGGCAATAATTCTTTTTCCCTTATTTCGAAACATTGAAAACTTATCTTCCCAGTTGTTAAAGTTGTTATACTTTAAACGAATACTTTCGCGTTCGCAATCGATAGCAATAAAACAACACGACGGTAAAGTAAGGTTTGTTTACTTTATTTACTCGTTAAGAATAAACTTCAATAAAAAAGCAAGTGTTAAATAAGCTAATTAACTATCAAAGAGATTCGAAACAACGTCACGCTCGACTTGTATATCTCTGTTTCTTTCCCTCATTCTCTCACTCTTTCTCATTCTCTTTTTCTCTCACTCCCTCACTCGACCTTTCGCTTTGTTCCCGCGATCGAAAGTCAGAATAGAACTCCTTTGTCTTTCCGAGCTATGTACTTTGCTTGCATATACACACGTGTCTCTCTTTGTGGCCTAATTCGATCTAAAGCGGAATTTTCTTTCGTTTTTCCTTTTTTATTTTTATCTTTTTCCCTTTTTTTCCTCTTTTACACCTTCAATTCTTTTTTTATTTTTCCCTACCCCCTCTACCCCCTTCCTATACTTATCCTCTTCTTATTTTTCTTCTTCGTATTCTCACGCGTGATACACGAATTTATTTTGTCCCTTCCAACCCCTGTTTTTTTACCATTTCGAAATATGTAACGCCGCGAACGAGAGGATAAAGAAGTTAATAAAATAGAATGAAATAAATAATAATGAGAAAAAAATTAGAAGGAAGGAAAGAAAGAATAAAAGAGAGAAAAAGAAAAAGAAAAAGAAAAAAAAAAAAAGAGAAAAGGAAAAAAAAAATATCGAACCAATTACGTGCACCTTTCCAAAAATAGCTAACAAGGTCGGCCGGCTTCCTCTTGTCGTCTTCGACCCTTCGCCATCGACCCTAAACTCACTCTTATCGATCCATACGAAGCAGTAGTTAAGAGATAGCACTGACATGAACCTGCCCTATGCATGTATATATATATATATATATATATATATATTTGTGTGTGTGTGGAAACACGTTATAAATATGTCCGTTTAATAGTAATTTATATCTAATTTAAAAAACTACGAAATAGTGAACGCTTCGATGGTCACTAAATGTGTCCCGCGAGACACCCCCTATGGGAGAAAAAAAAAAAAGTCAATCAAAAGGGAAATCTAGAAACTTTTACACACGTTTCCGTGTTTATAAATAAAAATAAAAAAGAAACGTAAAGGGGAAAAGAGCAAACGAGAAGCTTGTTTTTATACATTGTGTTTACACGAACCCGACCACGTAAAAAGCCGTACATAATTATGCGTATACGTACATAGATGCGCATGCATGCACCTGCAATACGAGTATTAGGTGTATCAGGTGTCCAATTTTAATCGATTTATTTCTACAATATAACGCGTTTTTTCTTCCTTTTTTTTCTTATAAATAAATAATACGGTTATATTTATATTAAAAAAAAATAATGTTGCAATTTTGGTTTAAATTTATTGGAGATAAGCCTGGTACTGTACCAGGTGTCCAATTTTAATCGATTTATTTCGACAATATAACGCGTTTTTTCTTCCTTTTTTTTCTTTTAAATGAATAATACGGTTATATTTATATTAAAAAAAAATAATGTTGTAATTTTGGTTTAAATTTATTGGAGATAAGCCTGGTACTGTACCAGGTGTCCAATTTTAATCGATTTATTTCGACAATATAACGCATTTTTTCTTCCTTTTTTTTCTTTTAAATAAATAATACGGTTATATTTATATTAAAAAAAAATAATGTTGCAATTTTGGTTTAAATTTATTGGAGAAAGCTTGGCCCTTACATTTTTTTTCTTTTTTTTTTTCTGTATCGGTAGTGATTTTTGTCATACGCGTCACTGCATAGAAAGAGAAAAAAAGAGAGAGAGAGAGAGAGAGAGAGAGAATTCCCTCTAATCTTCTCTTTCTCTACCCCCGTTGCCCCCTTCACCCTTCCACCCTCCCTCTCTATCTCTATCTTTCTTTCGCGTCAAGTCAATTTGATCTATTTATAGCAGACCGTTCGATATGATGTACCGTCGTTATTTTTAGCCGCTTACCTAGCTCTCGACCCTTTTCCACCCCTTGCGGAATGGCACTTGGGTGAACGCGACAAAGGGGCCGAGGGGTGGGATACGAAAAATTTTTTTTCTCCTTTTTTTCGTACGGTATATATATATATATATATGAACTTTCCTGAAAGAGAATGAGAGAGAAAGGATGCAGAAAGAAAGAGAGAGAGAGAGAGAGAGAAGAAGAAAACTTGGTCGATAACTCGACGGATGCCCTTTTGTCTACCCTTTCTTCTTCATAGAAGAGAAGAGAAGAGAATATAATAGAATGGAAAGAGAAAGAAAAGAAAGACCCAACCATAGAAATTATTTTTACGTCACAGCATCCATTATCCCCCTTCTCGCGTCCTCTACTTATTTCTTTTTGAAGGAAGAATAAGGAAAAGAAAAAAAAAAAAAAAAGTACTACACGCTCTAGCAATTCGCATGAATCCTCATCTCATTCGTATGCGATTTTCAGGAGGTCAAAATTATTGAATTTTATTCTTAATATAAAACGAGAATAACATTGAGA